AAACATTCTCCAACCGTCCTAGGATTATGCAATGTCTTCTCCTATGAATGATACCTCTTTATCAGGAAAATACATTTTCAAGGGTTCATATTCTCCATCCACGGGGTTTTCGGCAAGGTGGTATGCCAGTGCCTGTCCCTTGACTGCTTTCTGAGTTATGTAGACAATGTCGAACTCACTCCACAAGATTTGCCACTTGGCTAGCTTGCTAGTGGGCATGGGCTTCTGAAAGATGTACTTCAAAGGATCCATCCTTGATATGAGGTACGTGGTATAGGCACAGAAGTAATGTCTCAGCTTCTGAGCTATCCAAGTCAAAGCACAGCAGGTGCGTTCCAAAAGAGAATATCGAGCCTCGTACGGGGTGAACTTCTTGCTGAGATAATAGATGGCTTGTTCCTTTCTCCCCGTTTAATCATGTTGCCCCAAAATGTGGCCGAAAGCTCCATCTAACACATCAAGGTAGAGTAGTAAGGGTCTACCTGGCTCAGGAGGAACTAGGACTGGTGGTGTTGACAGGTACTCCTTGATTCTATCAAAGGCCTTTTGGCAGTCATTGGTCCACAACTGACTTAGAACAGTCATGTCATCATACGACCAGGCGATTATGTCCTCATATTCCTTTATAAACTCTGTGTATTCCTTCTTTTCTGACGGCGATAAGTGAACGCTGATTCGTGTTTCCTTGACGTTTTCTGCATCTCCCAAGTTAACAATCTCTGTCTCGTCCAGATTGGACTTTGGTTTGTTCTCAAAGTTCTCAACTTCTTTGACAATCTCCTCTGGCATGTCATTCTCTTCTGAATCAAGGTCCTTTTGTTGTGTTGTCTTTTCATCAAGATAAGTAATAGTAATGTTGTGTAAGTAAATAAGGAGAAAATGATAGAAATAAATATTAATTCATTGGAAAAGTCATACATGCCTTGATAAATTGAATAATTGTTTTGAACATTGATGATCTTATTGTGAAAATTGTAAAATGCGAAAAACAAAAATCATTCAGTAAATAAAACAGTGAATAGTGCTTGTTTTAGCCCTGCTACCCCGAGGCTCGTCGAACTCTGGTAGTCCTGATGGTCCAATTATTGAGGTATGCCCCTCTACTCACAGCTTGTATGGAAGGACCTTCCTCCCCCTCCTCCTCGAGAATAACACAACAATCCATATCACTGTCCTCTTAAAATAAGTTTTTCACTGCTGTGAGTGCCTCTTCTTCGTCTGTCCCATAGATGACGTCAGCCTGTTTGAAAGTCTGCTCCAGGTGCTGTATCGGTTGCTCCAATGGGTAGTAAGGGTCTCGCCATGGTGGCGCCAATTGTTGAACTCTTCCTAGGTGTATTCATATCCTAGACCGAATGTAGTGCCATGTCTCTTGATTTTTATAGGTTTAGAGATCCCTTGGAGGTTCTTGCAGAGTCCTTTACCAGGTTCGTACCCACTCCAATTCAATATACTCTCGATCTTGTTGTCCCACCATTTGTCCTTGTCGACAGCATTGACCCACTCGATGTGGTGGTGGGTCTCTCTGCCTAGCTTTCTTCTTCCCCTAATTGCCGGAATGGTTTGACGATTGTATAGAGGATTTCTACCGTCGCCGTGAATGATCATTTCCTGGTGATTCCATTCGAACTTTACAGCATGATGCAACGTTGATGCTACAGCCCCAGCAGCATGGATTCAGGGTCGTCCTAGCAGCAAGTTGTAGGATGCTGGCACATCTATTACTTGAAAGTCAACCTCCAACCAGGTTGGTCCCATCTGTAGACACAGACTAATCTTACCGTCGGTGGACCTCTGAGACCCATCAAAAGCTTTCACATTGGTTGCTCCTTCTTTTATCGCATGCAACCCTTTACCCAAGTTCTTGAGTGTTACCAAAGGATAGATGTTAAGGCTGGAACCCCCATCGATCAGGATCCTGGTGATGAAGTAGTCTTCGCATTGTATAGTGATGTACAGGGCTTTGTTGTGACCCAACCCTTCAAGTGGCAGTTCATCCTCATAGAAGGTGATTTTATGGCTTTCTAGTACTTGTCCCACCATATTAGCCATTTCCCCGCCCCTGATGTTACTTGGTACTTATGCTTCACTCAGCACCTTCAACAGAGCATTCTTGTGTGTCTTGGAGTTCTGCAGTAATGAGAGGATGGATATCTGTGCTGGTGTTTTGTTTAGCTAGTCGATGACCGAATACTCCTTGGCCTGTATTTTCCTCCAAAGGTCGTCTGGACCCGTCTCAATGATGGGTGGCCGGTTGGAGGCCTACTTGCTGGACTCAGCTAGGTGTTCAGGGGTATAGACTCTCCCAGTTCTTGTCATACCCTGTGCTGCAATGGTCTCTTCGAACCTGACTTTGCCTTTCCTCCTAGCCTCGGCTGTATAATCCCAAGGTATGGCTTTTGTATGGAATAATGGCATGGACATCGCCAATGGGATTGGTGCCGCCACCTTTACTTCGGATGGGACATGTTCTTTGGGTGGCAAAACTGCAACCTCAAATGGTACTGGTGCCTTTGTCGATGGTGCTGCTTCAAACTCAAGAGGGACAGACACATCTACCTCAGTGACCTCAGACGGTTGGATTTGGACTATGATGGGGTTGAGAGTAACTACTGGTTTCTTTCGATCATTGCCTTCTGCGATCAACCCGATGGATCCCTCAGGATCCCAATCATCCTCTGCTTCAATCATGTGAATACCCCCACACTACAACAAAAATGGCATTTACCGGCAATTATACAGCGGCAATAACATTATTGCCGCTAATTTATTCCTGTAGACCCAAATATTACCGGCAGATAAGCTATAGCCAGAAAAAGGCACGCTTTTGCTGGCAATTGAAAGAAATTGCCAGTGAAAGTTAATAATTGAAACAAATCTTTTACAATATTTCAATTCCCTCCAAAAATTTTCATTCTAAATGTTCCCTCCCTGGATAATATATCCGCTCCCATTGCCCTAATCATACCTTTCCTCTTTGTAAATTACAAATACACAAAGTCCAAAAGAGCATCTTCCCAATCAGTCTAGTCTTTTCCATTATACGACACAAATTCTCGAACAGAATCATGTTAGCCGGTGCTTTTCTCTAATCTTTGATCATTTTTTGGTCTATTTTCTATTTTTGATCTGCTTATCTACTCCCGCAGATACAGCTGAGTCCTCCCAATTCTCGAGAAATCGATTCTGAACGCCGACCACCGCATTCGTTTTCTTTTCTCCTCCAAACCCCATAGCTAAATCCAACATCTCTATCTTTTGTGTGTGTGCCTGTGGAGATTTAGCAGATCTGTTGATTGTTACATTAGGAGTATTAGCTTTGCCATTTTTGTAGGAGCCCTGCTTTGTTCAATAACCATGGTGTCCACGGCTAAGCTCAAATCTGTTGACCTTTACAGGTTTTTTTCCCTCTCTATTTTCATGTTCAATTAATTTGATTACCGGCGTGCTTTTCATTTTTTTTCCAATTCCGATTTCCATCACATGCTGTAATCAAAGTCATTTTTAACCGCGAAAAATAGTAAATTTGGTTGTGTTGTTACTGCCAAATCACGTACTAGTGTTAATTTACTTTTTGTTTTGATGTTTTTGAAGTGGATTAATTGAAGTTAGTGAAATGGCTAGTGATTCAATTCTGATATAGTTGTTACCTTTAGAGATCAAATTGTCGCTCTTTTTCTAATTATGTCTGTCTAATTTTCTGTCTAATTTTCTGTCTAATTTAGTTCATATTTTTCATATTATTTCTATGGTGTTACTGATATTGTCTTCTTTTGTCTTTTTGTCTTCTTGAGTCGAGGTCTTTCGGAAACAGACTCTCTACTCCTTCGGGGCAGGGGTAAGGTCAGCGTACACACTATCTCCCCAGACCCCACTAGTGTTATTTTACTGGGTCGTTGTTGTTGTAATTTTCTGTAACTTGATTTTTCAACAAAACTGCAGTTGCATTACCTATCAAGTTATCGTTTCATCACTGATCACACATGTATACCCGATATTGCATGTATGCTCTTAAACACGATCATCTATAGAATACTCCTGTCTTTCCTTGTTAATGTAGAAAGCTAGATGTGTTCTCATTCTCCTTCTACGAACCGTAGATGTCTAGTAATTAGTTTGTTGTCGCTGCTCTTCATCTTTTTCTTAGAGAGATATTTTTGAGACAATAATAGGATGAAATATATTTAGAAGAAGAGGAAGAAACATGTGGTAGTGCTTTCTTTCTAGCGGAAGGGAAAAAGGAAGATACAGAATCTGGACCGAGTGCATACTTTAACAGAATGTACTCTTTATCTATCCAAAGGAAGGTCAACGTAGCATTTAAAGACAAAGCTTCTGCAGTTAAAAGCTATTTTTTCATAGATTTATTTCTAATTCTAAGTTGATAGGCAAAGCCGTAAGGAGTTCTCACTCTCTATCTTCCAAGTATTTATGTGATTATTAGGGGGGCTAGTGAGTAGAAATAGTGAATGTCATGTTGGTTGAATGGCTTTCAGAAACCAATATTTGGTTGAAACAACAAAATGATGGGAATATTGTGAGCTATATATATACACACACACATATATATGTATCATGTATGTATGTATATGGCTTCTCCTCTCACAGCTATTTTGATTTTCTAGTTTTCATCTTCTGTTTAAGTGTTGTCTAAAACAAAGAGGGGAAGGGCAGTAGGGCACCTGGAATGACAGTTTAATTGTAGCATCTTCTTGTCTCCAAAAGTGCATTTGTGGGAACATCTCTACTAACTAACCATTTCAATAGAGTGCATTACAATTCCAAGATGCACGACCATAGAAGTAATAAATTCTTTACTTTACCTTGGCTTAATGCAATTAGAAAATTTTGTGTGAGTGCGTCCTGAATTGGATGAAATCTTGCATCAACAATCCTCAGAACTACTCCTTCAGAATGTTGTGTAAATTTATTTTAATTTTTTACTGCAGGAAAATTCCCCGCGATTTGATAGAGGCATCATTATCTGGTGCTGGATTATCTATTGTAGCAACGCTTTCCATGATGTTTCTCTTTGGAATGGTAGGAAGTAAAAATTATTTGCCTTCATGTTTAAAGAACAAGTGGTAGAAGATAGTGAATTAAGTGCAATTGTTGCACCACCAATTTCTACTAGCTTTAAAATAGATACATTTTCCTAAATTGCTGGTACAATTGTATCTTAATACTGGTGTTGTTTTCCTTGTTTTATTACATTTGCTTTCAAGTTCATATTATCAGAAGAAATGATCATCAATGTTTGTATATTTGTCAGTTATCTTGTAGCGCACATTTTAATTCAATCGTGTTTATAACTTGTAGGAACTAAATAACTATTTGACAGTGACCACCACTACATCCGTTGTTGTTGATAAGAGTTCTGATGCGGAATTCTTACGAATTGATTTTAATATGAGGTATGATTCTGACACATCTTGGAAAATATTCAGTGTCCCCTTTTTCCTTTTTCTTCTACTAAATGCATGACATATAGATATTATCCATTTCTGAAGTGGAGGCGTCTTTGTTTAACATTCTTCTAATCTCAACTTTTTGCTGACACAAATTATGACACTACATGTGAAAAAAGTAACCTGGGTCATACCAAGAAGTTGATTACATATTAATGAATGTGTTGCTGGATTAATTATGTCAGTACTAATACAACACTTTTGGGGGTCTTCTCTTGTAGGAGTAAACTATATTGCTAGTTGTTTGTTTCTGTTCAGATGTTTCAAGATGCTTATAATGTCCTCATGTTTTCAGTTGATTTTCAAGTCATGCATTCCCTTCTATTATGCAATATTACTAAGCAAACTTGTCTTGCAGTTTTCCGGCACTGTCTTGTGAATTTGCATCAGTGGATGTGAGTGACGTCTTAGGAACAGTAAGTTTCAACTCACTTCTTAAGGACTTCATAATCTGAAAGAGAAAATGCTTTATCGAAACATCATGCAGTTTGATGCAGTTAGCCTTTAGCTTTTTGTTTATTCGTGATTAACAGATTTGTATATATTAATCTCAGAATATATTTTAGCAATTCTAATCCTTAGATTAAGAGTTTGTGACTTGTCGAGGTTTAGTAGCCTCCTTCCAGCACTAGGAATCTATGAGAAAGAATGAAATTCAGTTGTTCCTGCAAAAGAAAATGCATTGATAGCTATAAAATCTGCACTGTTAGCTATAACACTAGACTTCTGTTTCATCACTTCATGTTTATGGCTATGTTTAGAGTTACTCAGTTTACCTTTTCCCCATTCACATATGCATCATTCGAGTTTTTCATCCAGTTGTCCCTCTAGAGAATCCTCATGAAGAGCTAGTTTGTTAAGGGAATAGGACAATAAATCCACCTATGAAGCCATTGATGTTCAAATAATAGCTGAAGTTTGACCGTGGTTCTTCGTTAAGTTAAGATTTTGATTCTTCATTATGCACGATGAAAAGAATGTAGTTGGTTCTGCTAATAGATGTTAGGCGAGGGAGTTGGCTGACAAAGTATCTAACAGTGATGGAATCTTCAAGATGTTTTTTCATATTATACTTTATCCTATAACACAATTATTTTATAATTTCAGGTCATACAGTATGATGTTTGATAATTTAGCGGTTGGAAGATTTCAAAATGATGAAAAGTTGCGGAAATCATTTGAAGACCATCATTCTGGATTATTACTATAATGATAGTAGCTATTTAGTCCAAACAATATATTTTTATGTTTTAAGTTACTGTGATATTAATATTTTTGATTAACACTTCCTTTTGTCTTTTAAGATTTAATGAGATATATTACACTTTTTTGAATTAACATTAATATATTTTATTATTTGGGTCATATTTTATACAAATGTAACAACTATTATTAATTATTGCCAAATTATAGCTATTATCGCTAGTGACTTTTAAAGATATTAACTTTTTGTGATAATTTAGTTAAACATATTAGCTACTATTAAATGGACGCTAAAAAGGCAAATAAGATGTTTTAAGAAGGGATAATATTGCTTTTTTAATTGCAACAAAATAATTTTCGTTAAAAATGCAAACTTTTAGTGACAATTATTTTGAATTTAGCGGCTATAAAAATGGATGGTAAAGAAGTATAATTAGCCGTTTGGATTGGATTTAGTAGCTATTATAATTGTCGTAAACAATTGCCGTTAGAGATGCGAACTTTTAGCAGCAATTAATTTTAATTTAGCGGCTATAAAAATGGATGCTAAAGAAGTATAGTTGGCCGCTTTGGATTGGATTTAGTAGCCATTATAATTGCCACAAACAATAGCCATTAAAGATAATATATTTTAGCGGCAATAAAACATACCTTTTACCAGCTTTTGCGAGAAAAGCCGCTAAAGGCTTTGCCGACCCCAACATCAGCGGCAAAACACTATTGGCTGGTAAAAGATATAGAGGCTATTATTATTGCCGCTAAAGCCATTCTGTATTGCCGCTAAAGGTCTTTTTTGTAGTAGTGCCACCTTTATGGTCTGGTAGAGGGTTGTTGCGGACGTTCGGAGTGGCTTCCTTTCCTACAATGACTTTGTTATCAATCAGAGAGTGTATCTTGTCTTTTAGAGAGCGGCATTTGTCGATGGTGTGTCCCTTTATGCCGGAATAGTATACACAAAACTTGTTTCGGTGAACCCACTGAGTAGGATTCTCAAGGATTGTAGCAGGGACGGGGGTAACATAACTGGCGGCTTTGAGTCTCTCATATAGCTAATCAATGGGCTCGGCGATGGCTGTGTATTGTTTTGGAGGCCTCCGATAAAAATTAGGTCGGGGCCTAGGGAAGTTTTGGCGTGCGGGGGGGTGATTGGTGATGAGATGGTTGGGCATTGTAAGTTTGGTAGACATGAGCTGGTTGGGAGTATCTGGGTGAGGTAGGTTGATATGTAAGGGGTGGAGGTGACTGATAAGTTGGTGGGGGAGTTTGGTAAGAGGGTGCTTGGTAATTTAGGGCTGGCTGATATGTGAGTGGAGGTATTGGGTAAGTTTGGTATTTGAGGGGAGACTTGGTCCTTTGTGAAACCATTACGGCCCCTACGTCCCTCTTCTTAGACACACCACCCGACTGTAAGGCCTTATTTGTAGCTTGCAAGACCTCGAAGTTTGTAACCATACCGCTTTTGATACATTCTTCAATTCGTTCCCCCAGCTTGATAATGTCAGAAAGCTTATGATTCTCAATCACCATCAATCGTTCATAGTATTGCGGGTCTTGAGCCCGGACAAAGAACTTGTTCATTTGTTCTTCTTCTAAGGCGGGTCTGACCTTAGCAACTTCAAACCTCCAGCGAGTAGCATACTCGCGAAATGTCTCTGTGGGCTTCTTCTTTAGATTCTAGATATAGAACACGTCTGGCGCGTTCTCTGTGTTAAACCTGAACCTGTCCATAAAATCAGACGCCATACCTACCCAGCTCGACCACTTCTTAGGATCTTGGCTGATGTACCAAGATAGTGCATCTCCTTTCAGACTCCTCATGAATAGCTTCATGCGGATCCTTTTGTCTTTTCCTACCCCGACCAGCTTGTCGCAGTATGTTCTCAGATGGACCCTTGGATCACCTGTACCATCAAACATTTCGAACTTGGGGAGAATTGTACCCCTCTGGTTGTATGCAGAGGTCTTCATAATTCAATCCTTCGATCCCCTTAATTCCTTCGACGCCCTGAATTCAGCTGGTCAGTTTCTTAAGTTCTTCAGCCAAGTTTTTGATGAGTAAATCTTTTCCATCGGACACGGGTGTGCAAGATTTAGGTTGGGTGGAGAGCGGCATGGTCTCCAGGTAGATGGGATTGTTGTGATGTGAGCGTGGAAATTGTCATTTGCGGAGTTTTGCGGTTCGGGGATGAGTAGTGGAATGTTGTTTGGAGTGTGGCAAGTATTGCATTGGTTCTTTGTTGGAGCAGTGGGATGATTTGGTTTCTTTTGTGGAGGTGTGGGTATTTGACCGTTGGGGAAGACGGTGTCTGGGGTGCTGAGGGAAAAGGATAGGTTGGCCAGATTCCAAACCTGATCAAGCTCTTCTTGAAACTTCAACAATTTCTGCTCAAGTTGTGACACATTTTCATTGGGAACCCGAATACCATGGCCATCAGTGTCCTCTGCTATTGTGTTCTCCTTTCTGACGTTTAAATCTTCCATTTTGCCTTTGTTCTTGTTCTTAACAGGACTAAGAGGAGGAGTGGGTGGAGGGCCCTGGATCTTGTGGAATAAGATGATGTTTCCAGAATGCACGAACTAACCTTTGGCGAGGCAAATAATAAAAAAAACAAAAACAAAAATAAAACAAAAAGGTAAACAAGTTAGTGAGGATCATAAAAAAGTGTTGCAATATTTAAACACGTAGCGCAGGAATGTAAATCGTGTCCTAATTTGGGAACCTCGTTGTGCCCGAGGTAGGCCTAGCGACAAGTTGATCTGGAGAACATAAAATGCTAAATGCCTCATTTCATTGATAAAGATAAGACGAATCCCAAATTAAATAAACAAGAAATAGAAGTTACTAATGGCCATTGGCCTTGTTACATTTTAAGCAAAGAAGATAAATTCCTATCTACTTGGTCCCAGAAGGACCTTCCCCAGATTCGGCATCCTTGGCTCCTTCGAACAGCTTCCCCAACTCATGAAGTCCCAGCAACCGGTATGCTCTGGCTAGATATCCGCCTTCAGCCCCTTTAGCTTCTTGACAATCCTCGACCCTTTTGAGAAACTTTCTTTCCAATTCTACTATGCCTCGCTCCAAGTATCTCAGTCTTTTGTTGGCGTTAGTAGCCATATCTTTCCATTCCTCGATTAGCTTTTGGTTGGACTCTTGTATTTCTCGATGTTCACTTTCGCACTCGCGGATCCTTTTGCGCAACTGGTTGTACTTGACTTGCGCTTCAGCCTTTTCGTCTATGATTGTTGGGTTTTTTATGTATTTAATTAATATATTAAATACTTAAAAGATGGTGAATGGGAAATGGAGGGAAATAAAATTTTTGAGTGAAATTTTAAGTTCCCCCCTTGGTAAATGGACATTGTCCCATATTGGAAGAGGAAGAGTTTTTTATGGGTATATAAGCAATTGCTCTTCTTCTGGCTGTTAAAGAGTTGAGAAGAAGGCAAGCCTCGCGCCGTCGTCGTCGTCGCTCGCTCGGCTCGGCTTCGGGTTCGGGTTCGGCTACGGCTACGGCTTCGGCTTCGGATTCGGATTTGGATTTGGATTTAGATTTGGATTTGGTCAAATGATCTATTGATTGATTAACTTTTTGGTCTGAATTTATTTTTTAATAGTAAAATATTAATAATACATATTAATATTAAATCCAATCCGTTTTTCTGTTTTGGTAACAGAAAAGTAACTACCCTCTTCAATTTTCCCTCTTTATTGTTGAGTAAATGGCCATTTATGTAATGGCATTTATGATGTGGCCATTTTGCATAAACAGCTATTCTGAAGAGTTGCACCTCTTCAGATTTCAGCCCAACTTTGGCTATAAATACAACACTATTCTGCTCAGAATTTCACTACGATTTTCTGAGTTTTCTCTCCTTCTTCTGCATACTTTTAGCATCAAACAAAGCAAAAGTAAGTTTGATTTGCTACCAAACTTTGTGTTCGCTGAATCACTGGGGCTTGAAGTACCACTACACCAATGTGTAATTTGTTCTATCCTGGGAGGAAATAATCCATAACCTTGGGTACTAGAAGGGGATTAAATTCCTTAAGGAAACACTGTGAATTCAGTGGGCTCGAATTGGTCAGCGGTAAGGGCAGGGTTAGTATAGGTATTTCAAAATAGAGAATAGTGTAGTAACTGAAATTGGAAACCCCTAGAACTTTCCAGATGGGGTTCCAATTAGAATTTCAAGAAGTTGGTAGTGTTACT